TGCGTATTCATGGTCAGTTTTTGATTTTTTTAAGTTATGGTGCTCATTCAGCAATCGCTCAAGTGTCATCGATGGCTGACGCTTTCACGGACGTTTCGGATGTTTTTTTTTATCGAGGAGGTTATATCGTACTACTTTTGGTTACGCTGTTTTATCGTACTTCAGTGCTGGGTCACTAAAGGGATGAGTCAACCATTCCATCTACTTTTAAACTTGTAGTCAGAATTGAGGTTAAATTCGGACGGGACTTAGATTTATACTCGTATGGGTAATGGAAAAGCACGTAATCGGATGATAAATAGTCGTTTGTTCATTACACTCTTCAAATCATTTTTACTAGTTTAGTGGACTTTTTGTTAAGAGTTTTTTCTTTCAGTATCTGAGCCGAATGACGATATGTTCGCGATGAAACTGCGCTACGAACCATTGTTTCCCCTTCAAATTGTTTTCACAACATCTTCAATGGATACATTCTATGAGATTTGGACGTTGCGATCTACTCTGGCCATTGAATTAGCTCATCTCGAGAAGGTTTTTANAGTTTGAGATGGATGTTTGTGATTAGTGAATTTATTTCAATGAAACTGACAGACAGCAACGATGTTTCATATATTTTTAATGTAAGAAATAGTCCTTCATGAGTTTTTCAAGCCTGTTTGACACAATTCAGCGATTGCGTTTTCAGTTAGAATTCGATGAAATATTAATGAGTTGGCATTTTATGCTGATGCGATCGAGAATGATGAGTTTCTTGAATACTCTGCAAATGTTTCTTCAAACTCAAATTGATCATGTTCTTGCAACAGCATCACTGAAGGTATCGTTGCGTTATCTTTTGTCGATTATAAAATACTTTGCACAGTTTGATTATAACGGCGATATGGCTGCCACTACGGTCCTAAGCCAATGGAAATTTTTAATGTTATCATTTTTCAATTGTCTCATCGATGTATCGAATCAACTTCTATTGAGGCAGTTTGTACGGGTGAATTTGTTTTCAGGGCGAATTGCTTAATTCAGAGACACTGGATGAAGCACACGAGGCACTTAAGTGAGTAGTCAACCTTGCGTTCTTTTCGTTTGATTGCGTTTGATCAGGAGTAACATTTTGCTAAGTTTGCTCTTGCAAGTTCACTTACAATTAAGTAAATGCCCATTAATTGCCGACGGATCGAGTTCGA